GCTGACTATGTTCTACAAGAAATTCACGAAGGAATCTGCGAATCACACTCAGGTGCAAGAACACTAGCTGCTAAAGTGCTGAGGGCCGGCTACTACTGGCCGACCTTGAAGACCGACTATGCTGAGTACGTGAAGAAATGCAAGCAATGTCAGCAACACGACAACTTAATACACGCCTCGGCCGAGTAGCTTCACGCGGTCAGTGCCCCTTGGCCGTTTGCTCTATGGGGTATTGACATTCTCGGCCCATTCCTACTCGCCAAAGGCCAATGCAAATTCTTGGTGGTAGCTGTGGATTATTTTACCAAGTGGATAGAAGCCGAACCGCTTGCAACTATAACGGCCGGCAATATCCAAAAATTCGTATGGAAAAATATCATCACCCGGTTCGGCATCCCATATGCAATCATCTCCGAAAATGGGCTTCAATTCACAGATAAGAAATTCAACAAATTTCTCGAAAACCTCGGCATCCGACACCGGTTCACGTTCGTCGAGCACCCACAGTCCAACGGCCAAGCCGAAGCCGCTAACAAGGTTGTCCTCACCGAGTTGAAGAAATGGCTTGGCACGGCCAAAGGAGCGTGGGTCGAAGAGCTTCCTGAAGTTCTTTGGGCGTACAGGTGCACGCCCCAATCAAGCACAAAGGAGACTCCGTTCCAATTGGCATACGGCACAGACGCTATGATTCCAGTCGAAGTCGGTGAGCCTTCATTTCGACGGACACACTTTCACGAGGAGTCCAACGACGGCGCAATTCGAGCCAAACTGGATGTCGTAGAGGAACTTCGAGAGAAATCCCAAGTCATAGCTGAAGCATGTAAACAACGAATGACTCGGCGATTCAACTCCAAGTTGAGACCAAGGAATTCCCAAGAAGGCGATCTTGTTTGGAGGTCAACCGACTCGACCTCGGCCCTCGCCTCATCGACCTTTCTTTTAGCAATCCGCGCCTTGTTGGCGTCTTGGGTATGCTTGTCTTTGTGTTGAGGCTGGGGCCGAGACGTCTCGCGTGCCAGATTCCTATTCCCCCCTTGCCCGGTCGGCGTCGGCGTCGGAGCTCGGCCCCGGATCAAATTACGGATGTCCAAGTCATCACTCCCGCAGCTCGTCATGATACCTGCACAAACATTAGTCAAAATCAATCATAACACATGAATTTACACACAAGACAGATGCTATACCAATTAAATCGTCCAACGGCTGAGATGACTTCATCAACCGAACGAGTTCTCGGCACGGCAATGGCCGAGGTAGTTTCTCTAAAATTTTTAGGTCATCACGCTCCTCCACTGACATCTTAGACTTGGACACCACATCATACTTCCTTGGCGCCCGGGTCCAATATAATGGAAAAAATGGCCTTCTTTCATCATCAAAAAAATATTTATTGCCGGTGCTCGGCCGAATCATCACCTTAAAATACCTTACTTTGAATCCTTTGTAAGATGTAGTGAACGGTTGGAGCAAGCAGTTCTGATGGAGATAAGTGAGGAGATTGATGTTCCTCCACTTTGCTCCATGCTTAGGACCGAAGATGCTTTTGAGGTTATGACTCCAAAGACTCTTTGAAGCTCCTTGAAGTGTTCTTCAATGGAGGAGAAGCCTTGAAGTGATTCGGTGTTCCTTAGCTTGCATAGGAAGCTTGAGAAACCAAAACAAAGTTGAAGAACTTTGTTAGAAACCTAGAGTGAAAGTTCTCTACGGTTTTAGGAGAGGACTCTTGAGAGAGAATTCTGAAGTTCAATTCTCATTAATGTCAAAAGTGAGTACAAGAGTAGGAAAATCAAATATATAGGGGAAGGTAGCTTGTAGGAGAAGCTAACCTTAACCATGGTTCACTAGGAACCATGGTAGGGTTAACTTAAACTCCCACGGTTTAGCTAGCTTGTAGGAGAAGCTAACCTTGACCATGGTTCACTTAAGAACCATGGTAAGGTGAGCTAACCTTACAAAGGTTTAGAAGCTTGCAAGGCAAGCTTCAAACCTTTGAAGTGAGACAAGCAATTTTCGGCCAAAAGGAGGAAGAACTAGCTAGGCGGCCTTGGTGCATTTTGGCTCCATGATTTAATTTGAAAAACCTTGATTTGGTTTAGTTAGGTTCATCATATGATGATGAAACCTAGCTAAATCAAATCTATGAAAAATTAGGAGCAAAATGAGTCCAATATGCAAAATTTTGCCTAGGCCCAGTTCTGGCCCAATTACTAGTCACACCCCAAGCTTTGCTAAATGACACCCCCTTTTCCCTACTGAAAAAATACAAAATGAATGTATCAACTAGGGAGGTTAAATGGAGCTAAACTCTCCAAGTAGCCTACCTTAAAAACAATATACAATCACTAGGAAAAAGCAAGTAAAGTGCCTCACAAATACAAAGGCAAAATAACCTATACAAAAGACTATGCATAAACTGTACAATATAAACAAATAGAACTAAGGCCTTCTCTTCATGATAGAGCATTCCAAGTGAAGATTACCTTGGGCCTGACAAGCCCATTAGTCTTCTCAAGATCCAGCTCTTCCTGTATCCTCCTAGCCATAGCTCTGGTCACTGGGCCCTTGACCCATGGTCTATCAAGTTCTCTCCACGAAACAGGGACAACCACTTCGCTTTCTTCGTCGGCCGAGAGGCGTAATGATACAAGAATAGGTTGGGCGTCGGCTCGATGCCAAGCGTTATACACAGATGCCAAACCCTTGCATCGCGGCCCAACTATTCGGATGGAGCTGCGTCGGCGCCACGTTCAACAGCCGAAGTACTCCAACAAAAAACTTATCGAAAAGGAGCGTAACCCCCAAGTCCCTAAACAAATAGTCATATACAAAGAAAAAATTATATTTAGACTTCTCTCGGCCCAGAAAGACGAAATCCGACCCCCAAGTTCCATCATTTCGGCACGGCGCAAAAAAGAAGTCGGATGGTTCCTCATCCTCCGGAAGCGTAACGAAGTTCTCGGAGTCAAACAACAAAGCAATTGAACTTTTCTCGATGTAACGTGAAAACACGCTACCCACCTCCCCATGCACCCATCTATACCCAGGAATTTCTATAGGGCCGAACTGACGAGAGGCTGAACCAATCTTTTGTGTCGACGATCGACCCTCACTCATCTCTAGAGAAGAAGCCTCCTCTTCTACACTCCGAGAATGATCAAACCCCTCAATAACTTCCACACTGGCCGACTCATTTGATGCCGACGCCAACACACCCTGAAGCTCTATCGGCCCACGTGAACCACTACCGGCAGAACCCGTCCCAGCACCCCCAGCAGAATCAGCTTGGGAAACCCTATCATCTAGATCCCTGTTAAAATCACCCATTGAAGACGTACCTTTAAGTGAAGCTGGTTTCGGTTGCTAACTAACACACAAGCTTGATCTTCACGTCGGCTCGGAGCAAGTGCAAGTCACAGTTAAGTAAACACGCAAGGTTTGGTCCCCACCAGGCTTATTTATAGTACTTCCAGGAGCCACACGCCAACCGTCACACCCCTACGAACTGTTGGATCGATTTGATCCAACGGTCCACAAGCCATGCCTTTTCAAAATCCCACGTTTAAATGCTCAACGGTTATGGCCCTCCACGTTCCCACATTAATGTCCAATGGTTACAACTCTATGTCCCACGATTAATGCCCGACGGTTACAATTCTGCACTCAACCTCAACTGTCACAACTGCAAGGTCAATTTTACCCTTTACGTCGTTACACTCCTCAAGGCTGGGGGGCTTGTGTACCGAAAGGACCCTATCAGCCACGTGGATCGGCCACGTAGACTGGCAAGTCATGTCCTATTAGATATTGACGCAACTATCACTTCGGCTCGGCCACGTGGATCGGCCACATGGACTGGTACGTCATCTATCAGATAATGACGCTACTCAGATATCACTTCGGCTCGGCAAGGGACTGAGAACCGTACCCCTCCCCTATCGGCTCGGCCAGAAGCCGAGAGAGGACGTCTCGGCTGTTTTGTATCGGCTCGGCCAAAGGTCAACATAGAATAACTAGAATGGTGATCGTGATTAACAAGGGACAAAGCACAATTAAGGCATAACCCGCCGATTAACATCGTATTACCTAATTTGGTAAGTGTCAGAGAAGGCCCACCATGTTCAGGCCCATGTCAGGTATTATAAATAGGTCACACGTAACGAGGTATGTCACTGTTCAATTATTATTCTAGAGATTCGTACTTATCCTGACTTGAGCGTCGGAGTGCCTTTTGCAGGTACCTCCCCCCCTCTCTGAAGCATCCACCTAGAGCTCCCGTTCGGTCCTCTACCTACCTGAAGATCACGTGTACCCTCAGACAGGTACATATATATATATATTTTTTATTTATATCAATATATTTCTATCAAACAAATTAAATAAAATAAATATACGACATAGATAATATTATTTTGATAAATACTTTTTTTATTAAATAAAGCTATATAAATAATAATAATAAATTTAATAATATATCATATGTATAGATTGAATTTGAAAATCAAAACTCTTTATTCAACTAGTGTATGAATGGGTTGAACCGAGTATAATGTAAACACTAAAAAGATTTTACTTAAAATATTTGAGTGAATTCGAGTTTATGATTATTCAGATAGTTGTATTCATGAATATTATTATTTCCTGACATGATACCTATTATAGTTAATTTTACCTTATAATTAATTAAAAAAATAAATATAATAATATATATTTATCTATTAATCTAGGAAAGTAAGTATTAAGTATGTACTTCAAGTGATTAATAATGTATGATGTCATTAAAAAATTTCAATTATTTGAATAGATTTTTGGTATAGAATTTTTAGTAAAATATAATTTTATTTTTTTATAATTTTGTTATTAATATCAAAAGATTACACAAGTGATAATAATTTATTTCTTAATCAAAGTTATTGAGTTTCAAACCGAGTGTTGAACATGGTATAAATTAAGTTAGATCCTTGAAATCAATGTAATAAATAAAAAAAGAAAAAGTAAAAAAAAAGCTAGTATGATTTTGGGATAAGCTTGTAGAGTAGTAATTTAGAGTAAGGAGTGGCGGTGAGGTGAAGTGGTTGAGTGAAGAAAGGATGCCGGTCTCCAACAACCAGCAGCTGTACGCTCCGGTCCGTCAGAGCGCATCATCGTCGCAATCATTCACTTCAAGGATCCTCCTGCTCCTCACTCTCCTCCCCCTCTCCTTGGCCGCGATAGCCTTCATCCTCCAATGGCGCGGCGGCGTCTCCGATCCGGCCACCCTCGCCGCCCCCCGCGGCTCCCACCGCTACTTCCCCGGCATGGAGCCTTCTCCCCTCTCCCCTCTCTCTCACAATTCCCACTCCGATTGCATCAATCTTGCCCGCACCGCTTCCCCTTCCTTCCCTTACTACCATAACTGGAAGCTTGACTTTGCGCCCTCCCTCACCCCTAAGGTCCCTTCATTTATTTATTTATTTATTTTTGAATTTGATCTCAATTTATCATTGTTATTTGAAGCATATAGTAGAGATTCTAATTTTGGTTATCTTTTTAAAAAAATTAAATGTGTTTGAGTGGAGAGGGAGGGGGTGTCTGTTTTTTCTTTTTCCCCTTGCTATGACTGCAATTGGAAGCTTAAGGGTTTGCTTCAAGGTGGTGATTTGGATTTTGAGTAAATTGTGCAAGTTTTGGTGTGTGAGGTGGGGTGATCTGTGTGTTTGAAGGGGTGTTCGGTTGATTTGGGAAGTTTATTGGTATTTGATTATATGAATGTTTCTATTTGTGTTGATGCGCCTATATTCGAGCAATTTTATTGGTAGGAGTGTTTATATTTTTGCAGATCTTGTACCAATGTTGATAATTTAAGTTAACCTGGTTTATGGGGTTGATTGCATTTGAGCAAATGTTGTTGATAAGATCTGTGTTTTATTGCTTTTCTGTGATGTGTGCTGGGTGGGTTGTTTGTGAATTGAGTTAATGTAGAGAGTTTTTGTTAGTTGCTATGATTGAAGTGAAAAACGAAGACTGTGTATGAAAGGAAGCTTTTTCTCTTTCTTCGTTTTTAGTGTGAGAAGAGAGCTTGATTTACTTTATCTCTGCGGATTTTATGGAAGTATCTGTTTTTCTGTTGATTTAATCCATGTTTTCTTCTTGATGTGCAGATTTGTGTTACGACGAGTACTTCGGCAGGGCTTGAGCAGATTTTACCTTGGATGTTTTATCATAAAGTCATTGGCGTGACAAATTTTTTTCTTTTTGTGGAGGGGAAGGCTGCTTCCCCTGAAGTATCAAATGTCCTAGAATCAATTCCTGTAAGTGGACAAGCATGATGTTCTATCAATCTCTCAGGAATCAGTTGCTTTCTTCCTTTCTCTTACATAACAATACTATTCTGATTTGGTTTTTGTTATTTAAACCAGGGTGTAAAGGTCATATATAGAACAAAACAGCTGGAAGAACAACAAGCTAAGAGGTTAATCAATTTTACCATTTTCTTACTGACTCTTATCCATTCAATTGATTTTTAATAGAATTGTGTTCCTTGGAGTTTCTTCATTTACATATAGATATGGACGATGCTTTTCACCATAATAGTTTGATATTTCAGTATGTCCATAATGACTTGTAATTATTAAAGTTTGTTTTTCTAATTGTTTTTGTTCTTGGTCTATACTATAAAAAAAAAAAAAAAAAAAACTCCCTTGCTCGTGTTATAATGTTAGTATACTTATACAATATTTTAAAATTTAAGTTTCTAAGAGATGGTTTTCTTATACTAATTATTTATTGTGTTGGTTGCATCAGCCGTATTTGGAATGAGACATGGCTAGCAGGTTTCTTTTATAAACCATGCAATTATGAACTTTTTGTGAAGCAATCCCTCAACATGGAGATGGCTATTGTTATGGCAAGGGTATGTCAAATTGTTTTGCTGAACAAATACTTATTTTCTCTCTCTCTCTCTCTCTCTTTTTTCTTTTAAATTATGGTTTGGTGTGTAATTTGGTACATTTACACAATGTTATGCTTGCTGAAACATCAGGATGCTGGTATGGACTGGATTCTTCATCTTGATACAGATGAGTTAATACACCCAGCTGGTGCTCGGGAGTATTCTTTAAGGCAATTGCTCCTCGATGTTCCAAGACATGTTGATATGGTCATATTTCCTAACTACGTGAGTAGAATCTGCAGATTCTTTTAATTGCATGCCATGGTATTCATGTATATTTTATGGTACTGAAAGATTTTGCTGTTGTTTGCTTCAATTTTGTAACTAATGCTGCTGTGTTTGTCTATTTTAGGAGAGCAGTGTTGAGCGAGATGATATCAAAGAACCTTTTAGTGAGGTAAGTCCTGAAAGCTGTACCCAATCATTCTAAATGTGTCTAACATATTACTGAGAACCTGAAATAAACAGCATGTCATGGATATAATCGTATTAAGATCATCAATAATATATATGTAAATCTGTTTACAATGCTAGTTCTTTTCTTCAATTAGCTATGCTGATAATTTTCCACAATTGAACATACGAGTTCATTAAGAGAAAGTAATGGATTATCTATACATAGTTCACAATCACATTGTACTGGCGTAGCTGGTTTTACTGGACTTTTTGTTGGTGTATCTGACCTTGTAGAATAACAAAAGGAATTATGACCTTTAAAACTCTTATTTTAGTTTCTTGGCTATAAAATTTGAAATCTCTATAATCTATATCGTACCATTTTTATGGTTTAGTTGAGGTACAAGCCTAATCCTTTGAGTTCAAAGTGTGAAATTACCCAAACTCTGGTGTATCAGGTTACTGTACTGAAGAGGGGATAAAATGCTTGATAGTTGATATATTATGAGGGCAAACATTTATTACTGGATTGAGCATCATGTTGGATTTGTTTTTTTTTCAGCTGACTTGGGTGGGTAGGATAGGATAGAGAAATGTTTAGAAATTTTTTAGACATTGATAATGTTAACAAAAACGGCTTTGATGCAAGAAAATAAATGTTAACAAAACAAAGTTGATGGTACATTACCAGGCACCGTACAAATTTGAAAAATTTAACTAAATAAATCTGTGAAACCCAATTTTGTTTTTCTCAAGTAAATGCTGGATATGTGATCATCAGTGCATTGTGGAAGTAAACTTGGCTTTGGAGTCCGGAGTGCAAGGGGTTTTGTCTGCCTCTCTAAGCAATGGCAGTATTTTATATGCTAGAATTAGCATTTCAATAGTCTCTATTTCATGGTTGCCTTATCTCAGTCAAACGAGGTTTGTATTTTGGCATCGAAAGTCTTGGGGATATCTGATTATGATTCTAACCCTCATTTGATTGAGGATATACTTTTAGTAGTCTCAGCTAAAAAAAAAAAGAAGCCTTCTAGTAGTCAAAGCTGAATACTAAAATCAACACTTTTGCCACACTCTACTCTGATTCAATTAAGAGCATGTTAGGGAAAACTTATAATTCCAAATTTCAGCTGTTTTCTTGAAATAAAATTGATTGTAAAATAAGCTGTAGATTTCAGACACCAGCTTAAATTTGCAAATAGTTTTATTTTTTCCTGAAAAATAAACCGTTTTATGAAGCCGAAGATTTCAAGCTTATAATGATTCTTCGACCTTCTTTTTTGTTTTATGTTTTCCTGTTAAGCTGATTTACTATATAAAAACTGATTATTTATTATATCCAAACAATTAAATATCTCAATCGTTTTTCATCAAATTTATCCAAACAAAAATTTATTCTAAATATAATCGATCATACATAAAATCGATTATTGAAATAATTTAATTTTTACAACTTTTCCAAACACACCCTAAAAGGATTAGATTGATTTTAACCAAATCTTCTACCGTGAAAGTAATTCTAAATTATAAATTTGTAACTGTAATGTAACCTCTTTTTCTTCCTGATCTGTCAAAGCAGGTATCGATGTTTAAGAAGAACTATGACCATCTTCCAAAGGATACATACTTTGGCATGTACAAAGATTCTGTGCGCGGCAATCCAAACTACTTCCTTACTTATGGAAATGGAAAATCAGCTGCTCGGATACAAGATCATCTTCGGCCTAATGGTGCACACAGATGGCATAATTATATGAAAACCCCAAAGTATGGTCCTTTTTAATTCATAGACATGTATCCCTTGACATTTTTGTTATTGCCCTGATTGTTCTTCTGAATTATGCTAGTGAAATCAAATTGGAAGAGGCTGCTGTTTTACATTACACATATGCAAAATTCTCAGACTTAACTTCTAGACGTGACCGCTGTGGTTGCAAACCTACAAAAGAAGATGTCAAAAGATGCTTCATGTTGGAATTTGACAGATCTGTAAGTTTCTGGATTTTATTATTATTGTTCTTTCTCCTTCTGTCCTGTTCAGTTATCCATTTCGATTGCATATCAGAAAAAAAGGATTTATTATACCAGTACGTAGGAGTGTAGGTTGAGCTAAACACTTGAAATAAAGGCTTGATTTGTGAGGAAAATTAATTGTTCAAGCTTTCATATTATTTAACAGGTTAAAATTGAAGCTTGAACTTGACTTGTTTAAAGCATGTGATGCTTGGGACTGACTCATTGAGTTAGTTTATGGTTTTATTATTTTTCTTTATCAGAATTCTCTGTAAAAACTAAAAAGTATATTTATTCAGTACTTAACAATTTATAATAGATGAAGTAAAAATAGAAATAAAATATAGTTTTGTATTTGTAATGATGACTTGAGGTTAGAAATATTTTTTTTTAATGATAGAAAAGGTAAATCTTTTGAACAAACTTTATGGTTGCATATTTAAAATAAGAATTTTGATGATTGAAATAAAGATAAATGATATGTATAGGATAGTAAGAAATCAAATTATAATCTTTTTATGTTTGAACTTGTTTATTTAGCTAATAAAACAAGATTGATTGAGAGCATTTAACAAGCTGGAATTCAATAATTCACAATTGGCTTAGTTAATTTATACTCCTACTGGTATATAATTATTTTACCAAAGCTTGAACTTGAGTTTGGCTGTTTGGTAGTGAATTTTGATAGAATATATCTTTTCTAGTGTGGAAGGTGTGACACTTGTGTAATGGTAAGGTTGATGCCTTGTGACCTGGTGGTCATGGGTTCTAGTGTTACAAATAGCCTTCCTGCGTATGGGATAATGCTTCCTAGAGCTGACCCTCATTAGATCCAACAGAACTACCCTTTTTCTATTTTCTGGTGTGGGAATCTTAACTTGTATGTAAGCACTCATTCATTCGAAGTACACCTTATCAATTTCAGGCATTTATCATTGCTTCAACTGCAACTGAAGATGAAATGCAGAAGTGGTATGTTGGCTTCAATTCTTCATATTTATTAATGCTCTATCTCTCCCATGTTTTAACTACTATGTTATTGATCTTCCAAAAACATTTGGTCTTTGCTTGTTGATCCAGGTATAATGAGCATGTTGTGTGGGGTGATAAAGACGTGAAGATGAAACTTTTGAGGAAGGGAATATTGACTCGCATATATACTCCCATGGTAAGTATAAGAATTATAGGTGTAGTGTTAGGGAAGAGATAGAAGGTTAGTTAATGGTAGCAAACTTCAAATATTATTGCCATACCCTAACCTAGTACCCCTGTGTATACTAATGATAAGGCTAAATACTGCTATTACTAAGCTCAAGCCTGCTAATAATAATGTGACTGATAACCTAATGAAACCATAATATCTTAACAGCAAGCCTATTTCATTATTTATTCAAGAAGTGAATCATAGATTTGGAAAGTAGAAAGAAAATGCAATGGACAGAAAGAAGATACTCCCACCACATGAACAGAAAGTTGGCCAGTAGTTCCAGTTGGTTGTGAGAAAACATTTGGCTAGTAATTTAATTCTGTCTTTTCCCAAATTGCCAAACATATTAAAATGAATCACTTTGAATGGAGATATAATTTGTTAAGAGTTTTAATCTAGTGAGAACTTTTACATTCTAGATTGTATAAATAATTGCTTTCATCGTTTTACTTCTTTCATTTATCCTTTTGCATGTATTTCTTTTTGTTGTTGAATTAATTTCCAGGTCCCTGAACTATTTGGAGGTTTTAAACAAGTTCCTGTACTTTGAAAGTTTGTAAATAGATCTCTAATCTTTTAAGTCATTTTTTAATTGGATCCTTGGCCACATTTTTGTTAGGGTTCCATTTAACCTAATTGAAAATTTTCAATGGTTCAGGATCCATGTCGCTAGTTTAATAATTCAGTCGGTTCTACAACTATTTATAAAAAATAAATTAATTAGGTCACTCTGACTCCCTGTACTTAGCGGAACTCCTTGGGAAATGTGATTAGAGACCCGATTGGAAATGATTCATTAGTTCTATACCAAATTACAAACTTTTGAAGTACAGGGACCTATTTTAAAATTCTCGAATAGTTCATGACCTATTGATTACTTTAACCTTTTCTTTCAAGGCTTCGAACTCTTTTCCGTATGCATTGGTTGTCAGGTCATAATCCAAAGTTTAAGGGAATCTGGAGTCTTCAGTTCTGTCATTGCATCTGCCCCAACACTTTCCAAAGAAAATTTTCTGCTGTCAATTGATAGTAGTAACTCGTCAAGAGCCTCCGCTTCTGTATCCCTCCCTTCTAGAAAGGCTGGAAGAACCAAAGAATCTCAAGCAGCTACAAGGAAGATTTTGGATATTGAATCTGCTGCATTTCATGAAGTAGCTGTACCACCACTGTCTCCCCCAGGGGTAGATGACAATGACCTCATTTCACACAATTGATCTTCCTCAGAGCATGCCCGTCATCTCCTTCCATTTGGGTATTACTGTTGTGTCATATTATGAAGAATCTACAGGTGAAGAAAGAGCAACTTGGCTGCTTTTTCTGATTATACGAGCCTTGAATATATTTGGTGTTTGTTGCTATCCAAATGCCAAGCATTAATCAGTGGCTTGTTTTGGGAGTGGATAGGCCTTGATGAAAACGGTTGGATACCTTATTTTAGCCATTTTTTTTGTATAGAAACCTGAGTGTTATTAGTATGAATTCTTTTTTTTTTGCCTTTTTCACGTCCAGGTACTAAAATTGTGGCTAGGATAGTAGTATGTTGTGCATTTCGCTCGACTCAATTCTTTGTATCATACATATATATACCTTTTATGTTAGAAAACGATTTCAAAGCATGTGAAGTTCTCTGCCAACCATGCCATGCTATTAGTGAATATTTATTGTTTCATTTTTGTTAGTAAACATGTAAGAAAACATAACCGTATTGGGGTCGATCCATTCACGTAGTTGGAGAGTATATAGTAAAATTAGTTTTGAAATGTATGTGATCGATCATGTTGGTCCTAAATAATTGAAATTATGCTTGAAATCAATATTTTAAAAACTGGAAAAGTCACTAAGTCAATGAGTCAAAGATCAAATCGCTGTGTTATTAACTAAATTGTATAATTTGATTTTTATTATGCATATTTTATACTTACAAATTTAATAAATTCATATCATGTTTTAAATAAGCATCCACAAATATTGTAGTCAGGAAATTATAGACTAATTGAACAAAATAAACTAATATATAATTTTAAATGTATAAATGTATATAATTTTAATATATAATTTTAAATGTATACATGTTAGGAGATACTTCTCTCTATCTCTTGTTGATGCCTTCACTCCTATTCACTTTCTGATTGAGTTGTTTGTCCACATCAAGGGGATACATCTATAAAAGGTACTCTGATGCTCAAGTAAGTTACTCCCTTGATGTATTAAATGAAAATAATGAATATTTTTACTTTAAGATACAGGCTATTGATCGTAGTGGGTCCAAATCTTAATGGGTCGTAAGTTAAGGTTATAATTAAGTAATACGTTGAAAATATATTTTGTATTGATGATTAAGCCTCAATCATCTTGGCTATCATAACTTATGGGTTTTACATGTCGTTTGAATGCATTGGCTACCGAAAGGCCAAGTGGGATTGGTCATATTGAACATTCTTATTCGCCTCAAACCATTCGATCGTCGAAGTTATTGAAGGGACGAGTTGAACTTGTTCTTATAGCTTATTTGACTGTCAAGGGTGCTAAAAGTATTGATTCAAGGAGTTCAATCCTTTTGGCTACCAAGGGTGTCGAAGGGTTGCATTTATTTACACAATTCCTTCAGCTATCGAGGGTGCCAAAGGGATGGGTTAAGGAACTCAATCATGCATTTACACAATTCCTTTGGCTATCGAGGGTGTTGAAGGAACGGGTTGAGGAACTCGATCATGCAGTCCCTTTGGCTATCGAGGGTGTTGAGGGAACCCAGTCTTGTCGGTTTTAGGTGAACGAATGGACTGTCCAATATAAAATGTATAATTATAAATTATGTTGATAAAAATAAAATATAATTTAATTTAAGCATATATATTATATGTCTTAAATATACACAAAGAATCAATTGGTGTAGTGGTAATGCATGAAGTCTTAAATTCTTGGGATCAAGGTTTGAATCTTGCATGTGCAAAAAGAAGCACAAATAGTGGTTAAAAAACCAAGTATTCTTTCAACAAGTCTCTCAAGACTTAAAGCCAAGTATTCTTTAAACAAGTCTTTTCAGACTTAATCACTAAATATTCTTTTAAGCAAATCTCTCCGAGCTTAAACCTTACAAATACAATTGATAAGAGTTACAAAAATAATTTCGTCTCTTCTAAACATGATGTTATACAAATACAGCATAAAAAGTTTACAAAGAACTAAACACAATTTTGCAAATAAGATCTTTTTTGACGTGCTTCAGCTTGTTCTCAACTAACTTGATTAATGAAAGCTACTTGATGCACTTTTATGTACAACACTTTTCTTTGTGTATGCTAGTCTGTTGCTTTCTAATTTTTCTCATCTCTGTTTGTAGTGTGAAGGTTTGATCCTTATATAGTAGCTTTGAAGAAGATGATCACTGCAACAATGTTCAAATTTAAACGTTCATATTTCTTCATATGTTGCTTCTCTTGTCTTTCTAGTTGTTCTTAGAGAGTACTATTGATGCATTTAATGTGAGTATTAAATACTTATCAGGATGCGTATACCTTTTATCTAATCCAGACAGTTACTTATCATCATTTCCTTCAACTTTTGAGTGTAGTAGAGAGTGTCATTGTAGAGCAATTGGGGCTGGTGTAGAGTAATCTTTTTCAGTCTCTTTTTCGTGATATCCGGGATCGTGCTTTTTGGAAATTCATGGAGATTTTGTCTTCTTTCTCATTAATGTTCTTCGAGACTTTTTCGTTTAATATGCTGAGGGATAACACATTAAATGAAATGTAATGTTAGTCATAACAGTGTTCATTTAATGTCAATCAGACGGATTGTATGCTTTGTCTGATTTCTTTCATCTTACAAATGATATGTATTATCTTCACATTTTGTCTAATATATTTTATTTTTGAAGAATGCTGACTTTTGTTTAAAGAAAATCTTCTATTTGTTAACATTAAAACTTAAGGGATAATTAGTTATCTTAAAGACAAGATTTTTGATTTAACAAAGTATTCTTTACACAAGCCACTTTCGACTCAAACCTAATTAGTCTTTGACTTTCTTTTCCAAGCAACTACCCAAGTATTCTTTCAACAAGTCTCTCCAAGCTTAGACCCAAGTATTCTTTCCGTAAGCCTCTCTAAGCTAAACACCACGTATTCTTTCAACAAGCCTCCCCAAGCTCAAAATCAAGTATTCTTTCGAACAAACCTCTTTGAACTCAACACCAAGTCTTCTTTTGAACAAGTCTGTTCAGGCTCAACCCTTAAATAAATTTGATAAAAGTTACAAGGATAGCTTCATCTCTTCAAGATATGATGCTATGAAAATACAATACAAATAGACTACAAAGAACTATGTACAAGATTTACAATGAAGAACTTCTTTGCAATGCTTTAGCTTTGTTCTCAGAATTTTTGATCAGTGTAAATTGCTCAGTGAATGTTGATCTTTTTATGTACAATGCTTTTCTTTGTATGTGTATCCTATGTTCTCTGCTTGGTGTTTGAAGACTTGATCCTTATATAGTAGTTTCAGAAAATATAATCATTACAACAACCTTGAGTGTGAACGTTTAAATTTCTTCACAAGTTGCTTCATCTGTCTTCTTTGTTGATCCCAGAAATTATCATTGATGCATTTAATGCAAGCATTAAATGCCTTTCAGTGAAACATGTATCTCTTATCTGATCTTGACAACTACTTATCATTTTCTTCTGAATTGAGCATAGTAGAAGTAGTGATAGAGCATAGTACTTGAAGTTGGCGTGAAGCAATCTTTTGCATCGTCTTTTCCATGATATTTGAGATTTTTCTCTTTCTATCCTGACACAAGGATTCAACATTTCCTTTATGCAATCTTGGGTTGTTTTCAAGGAAGTTTCTTCATTCGATCTGTTAAGGAATAAAGTATTAATGTTTCTTAAAGAATAAGCTGACTTTTTAATGAGAAATAAATATATCATTAATACAAATCGTATGCTTCGTCTTATAGACGAAATATGATATCTACTTCGTCTAAAATAGTCTCCTCAAAAGTTTCATTTGTTATCATAAAAACTCATAGCTTCTTGATCATAAAGACTCATAGCTTCTTGAGGGATTCAAGATTGTCTTTTGATTTTACAAACCCCCCTTTTTGATTTTTCACTATCAGAAGTTGCTTAGCAAGTTCCACTACGACCTTAGCTTAGACAATATGATTCTTTGCTAGACTAGATTTTGCTAGTGTAAAAAAAAAAGAGTAAGGATGAACGATACATTAGCAAACAATAAAGGAGTTTTTACAGTTTATTTTACTACTTTAACTTTGCTCCATTTTTTTGGGGAAGGGGGGCTTTTTTCTTAAAAAATCTCGCGATTTTATGCACTGCATGCTCTTTATCATTTATGCTCTAATTAGACAATATTTATGCTTTGATATGATAATGTTTGACATGCTTTGTATGGTCTTGAAATCATCCACTAAATCTTATGCATGTAAACAAATGCATTTCAAAAACGTGTTTGTCACCATATATAAAGAGAGATTGTTAGATCAAAAGACAATCTTAAATCTCTTAGGAACATATGTTTTAATAATAACAAATTTGGATGTTTTTTTATAAAGAAGTATTTTTAAGAACATACAAATAAGATGATAGCATAAGACAATTTTATATGATGATATATCTTTTATATATAGCTCTGTATGTACTAACGAAACACTTCATCTATCTAAGATGAATGCATTAAATATCACATGTATTATGTTTGATGATTATATCATCAGTTTCTATGATATTTCTTAATAGATCGAAGAAATACAAGTTTCTTAGATACTTGAACTTCATAAAGAATGATGATTTAGTTTTTGTCAGAAAAAGGATAAGCAAATATCTCAAAGTATGTTAAGTCACCTAAAAAGTCATTTTTAACTAATACATGCAACAATTCCTTAATTTAGTATAAAAAAAAAAGTGATAAGTAATTTCTTGGATTAAATAAGAAATGACAATTTGGTAAAACTAAATGCACCAATAAACATCTTATTCTACAAGGAAATAAGATGAAGAAAGATGAAATAAATCAACGAGTAAAGCCCAAAGATTTGCAATGATCATTTTCATCAAACATATATATATATATATATATATATATATATATATATATAAA